ATGAATTTGATTCCTACATAAAATATGTTTGAATTATGCTTTTTCAAATCTTGTTTTTGTGTTGAATGCCTAAGTTATATCATACTCCGTAAGTGATGAATTGTTTGTGTGTTGAAGCTGAATTGTTCAAATTTGGTTTATTGATTGATTATTATCTCTGAAATCATAAACCTCAGGCCAAATTATTTGACAAAAAAAAGATTAAATCTTGATTTGGTAGAAATTTTAGATCTACGCTACTGTTAAATCTAAACCCAAAAAAGTATTTGAAAACTGGTCTTTGTTTAAACTTGGATTAGATCAATTTAGGACGGCTGCCTAAACTCTAATTCCAATTGACAGTTTTAAGATCTTGAGCATGTTTATAGCTAAGATTTTCAAAACACAAGTGTCACATGGTTAATACTTAATTGGCTCCCACCCAGGTTTTATTAATCCGAGTTTTCAAGCTGACTATGTTATATAGATATAGTCTACTGCATAGTTGTTAAGTGATGTTTTCCAAAAAACTTAATGCTCTTTTTTTAATTAAATCTGGGGGCAGGTCCTTGGGTTGTTAAGAATAGTAGGGTCTAAAGTTAGGGCAGGTCTTAACATAGGCTATATTAGGGAGAGTAGGGAAGAACCGCAGTCGGATCTTTTCTTTAGCTTAACCCTGAGTTTAATTAGCAGCTTAGTTTCGGGATTAAACCATAATTAATTGATTAATCAGAGTTGTTCAGTTTATTTTCTATTAAAAACTCTAAGTATTTTCAAACTGGTTTAAGTTAATTATTATTGTCTACGTTTTATAAAGTTTAAAGGTGTGATTGTTTTATGTGTTTGTTTGTGCAATTGTTTCCTCCCTGAGTTTACTTCTGAGTTTGGTTTGCTGCTGTGGTTTCATCTCGTATCTCTTATATGTTATCTTTTATCTTTATTTTATTTACATTTTTATCTTTCTAGAATTATCTTTTAAACCCCCCCCCCCCATATTTGTTAGTTTAGTTTAGTTGTTAATTTAGTTAGTTTTTAGTCAATAAAAGTGACAAGTGAACTGATTTTTATAGCTTAAAAAGTATATTTCTTCGTGTGATCGATCCTTACTTACCCTATCTATATGTTTGGATAAATATTGAATCATAAAGGGGATTAAAAGTTAAGAAAATAATAAATTACTACCTCCGTTCAGAGTATTTGTCCACTTTCATTTTTACACACCATCCAATACACTTTTTTAATCCATTTTATCTTGTAATTTGTATATTAAAAAATTATAGAAATTATATATTAATAATCTATATGTTAAGACAAATCAAACAAGATCACACATGACTATATTTAGGCTTACACATTGAGAGAATTTGATGAGTCAAAGTGCTTAGATGAATAGTTCCAAAAGTCAAAACTGGACGAATACTCCGGGACGGAGGGAGTAATTTGTAGGTGCTACGACATGCCTAACAACAACTCTTTTCCTTTAAATTCTAGAAAATAAAGATATTTTATTCGGATGAAATAAACTTTAATTTTAAGAGTGCGGCTTGGCAGATAGGTTGAGTCAATTGGGATTTTCCCCATATCTCGCCCAATCGAGATAGCCCCCTTTCACCAAAAATAAATCCAGGGAATCGTCCCAAATTTGGAGCGTGAAGTGCAATCATAATATTTGTTGGGGAAATTGAATACCAGGCGTTATTATGGTTTTTTGAAAAATCACAAGGTATGTGAAGTGTAACCTTGTTAGAGTTAAATCATTGGTTTACTCTTTCTCAAATTGACTTGTGGGATTCAAATAACATTAATATCACATATATTAATTTATCTGAGTATGGCCATACACTTCCCAAGTCATATCAATCACTCGGCCCCAAGACATTACACTCCATCACAACGGAAGAGATAAATTTTTTCTACGTCATTCATGCCTTTACATATATTTAACTATATACCCAAAACATAACTGTACGTCCACCAGTATTTCAGATGACATTAGATATGAATAAGAACATATAGGTCAACATATTAAAGATCATAATGACCTCAAGTCTAAGGATAGTTATACTAATGGTTGAATGAGAATACCACTAACACATTTAAAATAATACCCATGTAGTATTCTCATGGTGGGTCAGTCCAGTACCATATCCCAGATATGTACCTACGTATAGATTAAGATATCACAATATCCATAGCCTATGAGACGTAGCTATCTTGTCTCATACGTATTAGTCTTAGTATATTATGACGTCCGTATTATCATAATATTCGACTAAAGACATTTTATACATAGCCTCTATTAATGTAACAGCCTCATAATCAGAACATCACAGTTCTAATCTGTGCTACCAGAGCGCTGAGTCTATGGACTAAAGCCATGTATAAATACACGAGATGTATAAATAATATTTAGGGCCTTTTATTCTTGATAAATATTAAGATACTTTCATACATTGGCTTCTAGGACTCATATATCCAACACCCACGTGCGTGGTACACACGCCCATTATATTTTTTGCGGGATCTTTTTTCATTGTTGTATTCATGACATTAGTATATTCACTCACCATTGTTCTAGAGGAGTAGTTATAATATTGGTCTACGTTGATGATTGTTAGAATATAAACAATCTTTCTTAGGCCACAATCACAAGCTTGAGCTTTTGGTTCAATTGGTTCCTTGACATGGTATAGGAGCCTTGTTGACTAAGATGCCATAAGTTCAAAACTCAGCGTCATCCAGTTTTAAAAAATGTAAGGTTTCACATGCAAAACTAAAAAAAGACTACGCCTGCACGTGAGGGGGCGTGTTAGAATATAAAAATATTTTGGGCCACAACCACAAACTTGATCTTTTGGTTGAATTGATTCCTTGACAATGATAGTGTCATTACGAGCAGCTCGCCAACCCTAATTTTTTAAATTACTCAAGCTATGCACTGAAATATCCGGTTGAAAGAACTCACCCCTTTTCATATGTTTCTTGGCATTGAGGTAAAGCATACCAAGGACTCCATTATACTCCGTCAAACAAAGTACGCGTGTGATCTTCTTTGACGGTAGGGATGCCCAAATGTAATCCTGTTGTTACTCCTATGACGGCTCGACCTATGGTGACGTCTTCTGTTCCATTCACGGACCCCACTCATTTCACAACATTGTTGGTGGTTTGCATTATTTGGCTGTTACTCGTCAACGTATACAGTATGTTGTTAATCGGGTGTACCAGACTATGCACAACCCGGCTAAATAAAATTATCATGTTATAGAGGGATATATCCTTCAGTATTCCATAAGACTAATTATTATCAAAATGTGTCAAACGGCATGATCGTTGAACTCGTTGAAATCTGTTCTTGAATCATATCTATTGCTGAATTGGTATTAGGAGCATGCTTATGATTGATTTCTTATGACCTATAATGTGAATTTGATTGAACTTATTGGTGATATATAGTGAATTATGAATTATGATGATAAAATAGGCCACAAAAAAAAACCTAGGCGGATCTGAGTTCAATTGAATATTGTGAATCACCAATAGGATTGAGATTAGAAATTAAGGTCATGCAACTGTCATCGCACACCTAATGGTCTCGAGAGTTAAAGCGTACATAAGGGGTCAGTCACCCTCTAGTGAGAGCCAGTTGGGGGCCTCAACCCCCTCTCTTGAAAGATCTTTGGAGTTTGAGCATAGTTTCTGGCGAGAGCTTAGATCCTATGAATCCCATAAGATTGATGCGAGCCGTAGTCATTGTAGGTTAAGAGCAGTGGAAAAATGAATATACTATGTTGAATCTTGCTTGGTAATGATGTGATATGATGATGTGATTTATATGTATGATGTTGTGTGAGTGTATATATTTGTAGTGCTACTCTATGAATTTATTCTGGTGCTAAATATATTCTAACTCTGCTTTCAGCTGGCGTGTAGTCTTCGTTATCTTGTCGTTGTTGCCTTTGACTGCACGCATGTAGGAACCAGAAATTGAAAAAGCAGCCTGCGGGTCAGTGACACACTGCGTAGCGGGTGGTTGGAGATGTTATTTAATATTAATTATTTTCGCTAGTTCATTTATTTTAACTCCAAGGATGTTTGTGTTGTTTTAGACTTTCACACTTTTTTGTTGAATAACTTCGATATGACATTGTTTTTCAATGACAATGAATGTTTTATTTTAAAATGGTATTGGAATTGTGTGCATGTGGATACCAATTTGGGGGCAACCCGATTCGCTAATCTTTGTGTTTGGGTTATGCACGCTGGGGCACAGGTACTAGAATGGAGCTGGCGAAAAGAGTTTCGAGATAGTTGCTAAATGTAGAGAGGTAGATATTTGTTGTATGATGAACAAGCTTGAGAGTATATTTGCTGAGTACTTTTATATGGAGAGTTTTGGCAAATGCAAAAGAAACACAGACAAATGAGTACATTAAAACTCCCCCTCATGTTCACAATTGGGTAATCTTGAATCTAGTCGATTAACCACTTACAAATAGACTCCCCCACCAAAGAAAATGAAAGGGCCAAAAGTGCCAACACCTAAAACATCACGAATGGCTGGGTATAGACTTTCAGAAGAACAATTAGATTATATGGGCCCTAGGCCGTTTTTCGATACAAACAACTGAGTTAAATACTAATAGGCCGCTAGGAATAAACTTCTAGATAGACACGTTAACAAATGAGGTGGGTTAAACCTAGCTCCCATACCATGTTACAATTGATAGTTGGTCGTATTCAATAATGAAAGTTCCATCACTATATATATAGGTAACACATATCAAATCCTAATCAGAGTAGAATAAATAACTATGGTAACAATAGAATAAGGAAAGTAAATAATAATATTTTTATTCTATTTCCTATTATTTCTAATATTCCAAATGAGACGTAGTAAACATTGTAGAGGAAGAAGCATGCAAGTTGAATGCAAAAACAAACGGGGACGAAGAGGGGAAGTGCTCTAAAAACAATCTCCAATATAAGTTAGAGAAATGTAAGTGACCCTGTCAAAGTTTATACCTTAATTTAGTTGATTACAAATAAAAATAGGGTTACACACTGAAAACAATTGGTATAATGTGTAAGGTACAATATTGTGGTATAGTATGGCTGCTTGGTGTACATAAAACCACCGGCAGTATGGTAAAAAGTTGCATCGCTCCAGACTGAACCGTAATCAGCCACTGCGAATAACCATTTCCATTAGCAAATCATTCCAAGAATCAATAGGCCCTGGCAAGCACCAGTGCAAGCAGTCGTTAATGTTTGTCTTGTTCTTCCCATCCGCAAATGGTTGAAAGAATCTGTATGGGCCAGGGTGCCCGTCGGGCCTCAACAACGAAAGTGGATTCACATCAAAGAGCATAAGCTTCACCCCATTGTCAGTTGCTTTGGCTGACACATTCTTGAATTCCTCTAGCTCAACATCACGAAGAATTCTGTTAACTTCACTCAACTCAAACTCACCTTCATGCACTGGTTCTTTTCTCTCACACCTCCCCCCTGTAAACCACTGGCCGTTCTCAAAATGATCTGGCGTGCTTGTCCGGAAGAAAACCATACCTCTATGCTTTGATGAAACAGCATGGTTGAAAACATTTCTCAGAATTTCTCCATAGGCAAACCCGAAACCGAGCTCTTTCAAGTCTCTTTTTGGACAGTAGTGGCACCCTATTAACATGCCGTTCTTGATATACACAGCGGGTTTCATAAACCACAGACCACTTGAAAACACTACGTAGTCTAATTCATTGAATTGTTGAGTCCAATTCTTATCAAGCCTATCAAGATGCAGTTCTATCTCAGAGGAAGAAACTCCGTTTATGTCTTCAAATATGGCAGCTTCTGCCAAGAAAGGGGACCAAATGGCTGAAAGAGAAAAGTTGAATGAGGGAAAGAACCATCTCCTGGATTTGAACTCCTCATCGTGGTATACTTCCACTGCCCGTTCTACCTGAAAATAAGCTTGTCATGATCACACCCTGAAGTGAGATTATTAATGTCAAAAGACCATTTCCAAATTCCAATTTTTTAAATTATTATTATTGCATTCCCTTAATACAAAGATGCAAAAAAGAGCCATTAGATTAGAGCAAGAAATAGAAACTGAAATTGCAAACATAGGTGTTCTAGAAGGACCAAATACAGTAACTGTTAGAGTATATAACAATCATTCCTGGGCCACAACCAAAAGCTTGAGCTTTTAGTTGAGTTGGTTCCTTGACATGGTATCGGAGCCTTGTTGACTAAAAGGTCACGGGTTCAAAACTCAGCGCCACCCAGTTTTTAAAAAATTAAGGTTTCACGTGCGAGGCTCGAAAAAAGACTACGCTTGCACGTGAGGGGGCGTGTTAGAATATAAGAAACATTTCTTGGGCCACAACCACAAGCTTGAGCTTTTGGTTGAGTTGGTTCCTTGACATAGTATCAGAGCTTTGATGACCAAGAGGTCACGAGTTCGAAACTCACCGCCACCCAGTTAAAAAAAATTTAAGGTTTCACGTGCAAAGCTCAAAGAGGTCACGCCTGCACGTGAGGGGGCGTGTTAGAGTATAGAACAATCATTCTTGGGCCACAACCAAAAGCTTGAGCTTTTGGTTGAGTTGGTTCCTTGACAGTAACCATCTACTTAGGGATAGAATAAGCCAATTAGCTATGCTTGTAACATTAAAATAGTAACCTCAAAAGATCCCCAAGATGTGATGTTTAGGAACAGTTATATATTGACTCAAGCTCAATAAGCCGCTGATTTGGGATATTCATAGTCAATTTTTATTTGCAATTGTCAGATGAAAATTGGAATGGGTAATGCCAGTAAAACTCAACTAACTCAACTACAAAAAAAAGAGCTTTTTTTTTACCTTAGAGAGTATGCAAAGAATTGATTGGGCATGATTCCTGGATAATGAATCACCAATTAACCCCCAAGTTTTATGCCTCATAAGCTCAAGAAATCTCCTTGCATTGAATTGGGGGAGGGAACAACCACGTGGATTCCATCTCCAGTAAAGATAATTCGTATCAGGCCTACCATTCCTCAAACAGTTTTGATGGCCTTCAATGAAGGGGCACGACTCATTCGTATAAACAGGACCGCTTGGTGTTCGAATCCAATCTCCATGAAAAAGATCACACAGCCCTACATCCCTTTCGTCTATAAATCCATCAGAATACATATTATCAGCTTTGAATATTAACAACAAAATATATAAATATATAAATAAATAAAAGCACCAAACATTCTTCAAAACAGATGGATTACGAAGGAATGTGGAAAGAAACAAAACCAAGGCGTAAAAGCCAGCCAACAAAACAAGGAAATCAGATATCCATTGTCCAAGTCACGGTTTAGATATGGATGAATAATTGTTGGAAAATTCAGTTTGCTGTAAGTACTCGAACAGGGAAAAACAGCTTAATCTGCTCTAATATTAAATGGAAGAACCAAGATAGAAAATAATATACTTCATGGCTATAATTGAAGAGAGAAATCACATTGAATGCTCCTGCCACTTCAAATTTGAAAAGAACCCAAAATGCCAATTAGCACAAAAGACAGAAATTAGCCTTATGGTTTCTAAAGCTTCTCCTATAGCAATCAAGAAAACAAAATAGAGGAATAATATTTTGCTCCTTAAAGATTGATGGAAGAAACGATCTACTGCTGTACTCCTTCAATTGTGAAAGGGAATTGAAAAAGCTTCTGCTGATAGTCCTGATACCAAGAGTGTTGCAACAATAAGTAAAACAGAGAAAGTAAAATAGCCATGCCGTGGATAACAATTGTAGGATAATATTTGCTGCTCTCTGCCAATGAAGTCTTGTTACTGCCACCCACTTGAACCAATTAGAAACAAGGAGGCTGACCTCTGCTACTGAGATACCTCAAGCCACAACTAGAGAGTGTAGAAGCTACTGCCCTTTACGAAGGAGAAAAACTTCAGATGCAGATCAAAATTAAATAAACAAGTTAAAATCTGTGACGTGATTTTAGCTAGTGCCTTAGAGATGATTTTGCCTTCAATGCGGTTGATACAAGGCGTCGCCTGCCAAGGTTAATACGGAACCGTCCTTTGTGTGCAAGGTTTTGAAAGGCAAAAACTAGCCTCGAGACGGTGGAGCAAAATGCCTTGAGGCGTAAGCCTCGTGGTGGAACAAGGCGTAAGCCTCAGTTCAATATGAAAAAAATAATACTAAAATATGTACACCGGGGTAAAACGAAATGCATAATCCATTTTCAAGTTAAATAAATGATAAAATCATAATTCCTAAATTTTATAAAAAAAGATACCCTATCTTAATTCTTAAAACACAAAAAAATAGAAATATAAAAATTAAACACATTAACATAAAACACAAATGTCTGAAACCCATCTTCAAACCTTATAAATATTAAATATGGACAAAAGTTCACACAAGAAAAAGTTACATCATTCTTTGAAGTTTGAACCAAATTTTAAAGAGGGAAAGGGATGTTGGAAAAGAAGGAACCGAAAAAATTAAATGTTGAAAGAAAAAGATGAAAGAAATAGAAGATAAGCTATTAAATATGAAGCAATTGCCTAAGCGGCTACCACAAGAGTGAAGTTGTGCACTGAAGTCTGAAGATGGAGAGAAGTACGGTTGAAGATGGAGAGACGAAAGTTTACGCTAAAGTCTTGGAAAGAAGTGTTAATTATCTACTAGGTTTCTTAAGTTTTTCTTGAGAAACTATATAGTACATTGGCCCAAAAAAGTTTTTGTAAAAGAAGCCCAATAGCTTTTTAAAAATAACCATTATAATTCTTGAAATTCTTATTAAACGTGAGGCTTACACCTCGGTTACACCTTACCGCCTCAGACTTATGCCTCAGGCATCCCTACTGAGGCTTAAGCCACAGAGGCGAAATGCAACCGGCTTACCGCCTCAAGGCGGACCGCCTCTGTCGCCTTTTAAAAGCATGTTTGTGTGCACCCACAGAAGGCAGAAGGAACCATACAGAGTATTTGCTCAGCAAAGAGGAAGAAGAAATCTTTGATTGTGCATAAACGAAGTATTTTCTTTTGTTTCTCGTTTTTGCTACTCTCTGGCTGTGATGAAGGCAACTAAATAGTAAATTGGAGAGGCAGTTTCAACTAAACAAAGATAGTTTGAGAAGTGTGGGTAAGGCCAAAGAATACAGATCAAATATTTGATTCGAATGGCTCAAATGCTATGTTGTACTCTTGAATGGGTCATTTGAATAAATCAACAACCACTTTGGGTAGGTCACTAGGTCATTAAAATAATCACAATAAACAACTAAAACTTTCAGAAAAAGATTGAGTCAAAAGTACACACTCTAGCATTGCATTATCCAACAATCCCCCACTAATTCAAGGATGAGAGAGTTAAACAAGACATAAGTTTGGCGTTGAGCTATATACTTAAGTGCTAGTACATGTGTCATTTGAGCCAACACATAATGAAATGAGATCATCCCGTAATGCATCAAGGGTCTAATGTACACAGGGATAAGGCTGAGTACATATGAATTGCCGTACACAACTGTTTGAGTTGGGATTATACTAGGTTTTGTTTCTGCAAGTCACGGTTTAAACCTAACATGGGGAACAAGAAGAAACCACACACAAACTTCTGAGCCATCACTAAGGACAAATGTGTGAGTCAAAATACAGCAGAAGGAATTTAAAATCATCCAAGTTGGTTACCCAATTATAACTCAGCATAGAGAACATATTAGGAAAAAAACATTCCCCAAATGGGCATTTGATTTTTTGTACTTACTACTTAGCCGTTCATACACTTAAATTCTTGAAACTATTTATGCACTTATTATGGCATTTAGAATAAAGAAAGTAGGGAGTGCATTGTATTGTGAATTATAACTCTCCGAAACAGTTAAACATCCCAACAGTCACTCCCCCCCCAATATGAGTAGACTCATGGTACTGAAAAAAAGGTTAGAACTGGAATACCTTTAGTGTCAACAGTTTGGTCGGGAATCCTATTTTCAAGAATTATGATCCCAGTATGTGCCACTTGAGGAACATCAATGGATCTAGAGAAGATTAGCCTAAAAACCAGAGCCGCCACAATAGCTCCCACCCCCAACTTCAAAATATGCAGCTTCGACTTGCTCTGAGATCTCCACCTACTCTTCCAATCCCCCGCCATTTTCATGGTCATCTTCCTTCTCTATTTCTCACTTACTCACTCGCACCACAGAAATATATACTTACCGCAAAATCTAGTAAATGGTTTAAAGAAAAATAGACGCTCCCAGACTAAAAAGAAAAGGAATTCCTCAGTGCCGAAGCAATCTTTGAGCGAACATGAAAACTGCGGAGAATGTTTGCTTGCATTCAAATCCAAAATACGCGCTTTGGGTTTTGATTTTTGAATCCAGAAATGCAGGGTGACGCAGCTGCTCGCTGCCGAGTAGGAATGAATTCTTCAATACCCCCTCCGTATGTCAATGGAACAAAACAAAGAGGACATTCGTTTTAGGGAAAAAAGTCATGTAGGGAGTAGAAAATGAAGTATTCTCTCATTTCTCTATTCCTATCGATCACACCCAAATCTTCCTTTTTATTTAATTTTTTATTATTTTTTGTATAATACTTTGACTATTAACTATGTTTTAAATAATGCATCCATTGATATTAAAGTTTTATTATAAATCACAATATATATTCCATATGTAATTTATGGAGAAAATTTAAAAACATCGACTATAAAAGTTTAGATAATTCTATATTTCTCTATTTCCCAAAAAAAGTTAAACTCATTCTCTATGTCCCAAAAATTTCTACATTTTATTTTTCATCTATTCAAAAATGGATTCTTTTTCTACTTTTGGAAAAAAAGAATTTGTGGGCCATATAGTGTCTCTCTCCTCAATTTTACTTATCAATGTTATTCTATAAAGCATGGAACTTTTGGCCGAGTTGTTCTCGCCCATGCACTATGTGATTGTGAATCCTCTATAAGCATTGACATCTTGATCAACGATTTTGATTCGCTCGCTTATATGTTAAATGTTCGTTTATGAAAATATTTATAAAACTATAAAAGTAGGACATCCGTAATGAAAATAGTAAGAATAAAAACAACTAATGTAGGATTTGTTATAGAAATAATAATGATGGTTATTATTATATTATTAAACAAAAAATAACTAAACTATTATTATTACCTTTTATATAAGAATAAAACCAATTACGGAATTATAATACTATTCATGGAAATATATGTGCAATTTAATGTATGATAGATTATAGAAACAATAATAACAATAATAATAATAATTATAATTATAATAATAATAATATATTACTAAACTTAAATATAATTAAAAAAATTATTATCACCTTTTATATAAGAATAAAAACAATTATGGAAGTATATTATTATTCCTGGAAATATATGTGTGTTTTAAAAAGTCTTCTTGGCATTCATTGAAAGCTTGCCTCAATTTCTCAAAACTAAATTGATTGTCTAAAGAAGTAAGGGAATTTTAAGAACAAACCTCTTCTTCTTTGTTATAGGATTTCATAAAACATGCGTTAGCAATTTTTTCATTGCTTTGTTCGCTCTCGATTGCATCTGAGTTAAAGTCGTCCCATGTGATTTTCATAGCTTTCATATTTCATTTCTTGTTTTTGAGTTTAGGACATTCGTGTTTTATATTCCCTACATTTCCACACTCATAGAAAGTAATTTAATTAGTTTTAACTTTCTTTGGAAGATTCGTCTTTGTTCCATTTCATGTGTTACAAATTACTGCGGGAATGAATAATAAATAATAAAAATCCAAACTTATAACACGTTCAGATTTTACAACGAAAATAAAAAAAGAACAGAGGAAGTTACCGGTGATCGAAAACGAACGGAGAAGGAAAGCGGAGTTGCTGGAGCTTTCCTTAAGGTAGTATCGCCCGCCTTCCGCACTAGCAACAACGTGGACAATCTATTCCCTGGATAAAACTGGAAATGTACAAGATCTTGAGCGGTGGAAACTTGTGCCGACGAATAAGAACGGTGGAGAGGTATTCGCTGGAAGAGACGATCAAAGATAGTGAGACAGAGAGAGTTGAAACGCAGAGAATATTTGTAACGCCCCGAAAATAGGCCTATCAAAATTAATTAATTGATAATTAATTAATTACTGAGAAGGATCCAAAAATAAATGATTTATAAAGTTTGTCAATAAATAACGAAACTTATATCATTATGTTGAGTTTGACTGTCTGACCCCAACAGTTCAATCGGATTTCAATTCGAAAAAAGTTAGAACAAAAAGTGTACCCCGACTCGGACCAAAAATTAGTCCCAATCAGGGGCTACACACAAAACAGCGCCCTGTTCAATTACGCTGATTCCAAAATCGCAAAAGCAATCACGGAACCAGCTTGGCATGGCTTCTTCTCCTTCCTCGTGCTATATAAGCACACCCTCTTCAACCCATTCCTTCAGCATTTCTTCTAATTCTTCTTGCTGTGAGTTCCTAAGAGTGTGAGGAGTGTTGTGGTGCTGTTAATTTCGTGAAAAGTCGCTGGAACAAGCTGTGGTGTTCACCAGAAGTTTCTCCATTCATTCGCCGGAATCATCGTTAAGCTTCAAGGTAAGCCTGTAGATATATCTAATGACTAGAATATTCATATAAGTCGTTTCTACGTTCATAAATGGTTGTTTGATTGAGTTTTGTGTTTAACATGTTTGAAGAACCAAGAATCATAAACCCTGAAATTGTTGTTAAAACTAAAAATTAATGACTCTAAAATAATCTGTGAACATTGGAGAATATTTCTATATAATGTAATTAAAGTTTAGTGACTAAAATGATATTTTTGGAAATGGCCTGAGGAAGAAGACGATGATTAGTAGACATTAATCGATTAATAGATTAATTCATGTTGATTAATAGATTAATTCATCATTGATTAATAGATTAATTCATGGTTGATTAATAGATTAATTCATGTTAATCGATTAATGTGTTAGAATAATAGACCAACGCTAGAGAGAGGGGGGGGGGGTGAATAGCGTTTGATCGTAGAAATCGCAGGAATTAAAAATTCAAAAGAGAAGTAAAGAGAAGAGTAAAGGCACACCGAATTTACCCTGGTTCACCACAACTTGTGGCTAATCTAGCCTCCCGGGAGACTCTCTCGAGCTACACTATTATCTCGTTAAGCTTAACGGTGCTTAACAAACCCTTACAACTTGAGAATTCGAGTCACACGAACCTCAACGAATCCTTCGAAGGAAACAACCCTTCCTTCGAACCAAACAAGAGAAATACTTTCTCTCAACGTGTCTTAGAACACAAATACACTCAAGAACGAGACTCTCTTTTAGAGTAGATATTGAGTAAACTAAGTACGCTCAAGAACAAGTCAAACTTCACACGAATTGGCTCTTAAAAAGCTATGAAAAATAATGTTGTTTGAATGCAATGAAAGTAGGAGAATTGTGAAGTGAATTGATGAGAAAAACAGACCCAAACACCCCTTTTTATAGTGCCAAAATAGGCTCCAATGGACTAATACATTAAAGGGGTGATTGGCTTGATTTATGGGATTGAATAAATTTGGGATCTGCAGGATATTGGCTTCCCAGCGATGTATGGACTTACCCATCGCTGGTAAGCCAATTTTCCTTCAGTTTTGAAGCCAACGGTCACCTACCCATCGATTTCTTGACCGTACTCTCAAGTTTTGCAACCTTTTCTTTTAAAAGCTTTGCAAGATTCACATTCACTTGAAGAGCTTTCCGGTTTGTCAGCGCTTCTTTTTCCATAAAATTTATTTTCTTGTTTCAGCTTTTCATTATCTTTTTCTAGTTTTTCAAAATCATTTTCAAGAATTGAAAGGCGTTTCTTTAATGATTTGTTAGTTTTAGAAGCGCTAACAAATTCATCGTAAAGCTCACGAAGTGCTTCTTGCATCTATTCAAAAGTGTAAGAGTCAGAAGAAGTGGTACATACCTCTTGTACTTCGTCGGCGTGGTCTTCGTGTGCCATGAGACAGAGGTTGGCGGCTTCTTCCTCTTCTTGGTCAATTGACTCGTCGCCGGAGTCACCACCCCATGAGATATAGGCTCGTTGCTTTTTGAAGCCAGGTTTGTCCTTGCCGTTTTTGCCTTTTGGACACCTCGGCTTGATGTGGCCTATCTCGCCACACCCATAGCACTTCGGGGGACCATCGTGCTTTTTTCCTTTGCGCTCAAATTCCTTCATCATAAATTTGTGGAATTTCTTGATGACGAGTCCAAACTCGTTGTCATCATCGCTTGAGTCTTCTTCCACCGTTTCCTTGGTCGCTTTGAGTGCTATACCTTTCTTCTTTTGTTCATCCAAAGACGGGGTTAGAATAGTGGATTCATAAGTTTTGAGATTACCTCTTAACCCGTCGATGGTGATGTTGGAAACTCCGATGGATTCGTAGATTGCGTCGGCCTTTGATCTCCATTCGGGTGTGAGACTCCGTAGGATTTTCCTCACGAGATCCTTGTTGGCGTATTTCTTCTTGAGGGCATGAAGATCATTGATGGTCTTGGAGAAACGATCGAACATGTCATCGATCTTTTCGCCTTCCTTCATCCTAAACATCTTGTATTTCTGCATTAGGAAGTCAATTTTGGCTTCCCGAACTTGGATCGTACCTTCATATGTGACCTCCATCTTGTCCCACATTTCTTTGGCAGTGGTGCAGCAAGAGATCTTGCGATAATCATTGGGATTGACCGCGCAGTAAAGCATGTTGATTGCTTCGGCGTAGTTCTCCACCTTTTTGATGTCTTCGGCATCAAATTCGTCCTCGATCGTTGGGACGAGTTTTTCACCAACCTTCTTCATTGGCGTTTCTTCGCCGTTCTTGATGACCAACCACAATTGGAAGTTTTTTGAGCGGATATAAATTCTCATCCGCTCTTTCCAATATGTGTAGTTGGTGCCATCAAAGAGTGGTGGCCTAGAAGTTGATTGACCTTCTCCGATCTCTGCATAAAGATTTCTAGAAGAGGAACCCATGATCGCTTTAGTCTCAAACGGTTAAGTTTGGACGCGAGTTAGGCTCTGATACCAATTCTTAGAATAATAGGCCAACGCTAGAGGGGGGGTGAATAGCGTTTGATCGTAGAAATCGCAGGAATTAAAAATTCAAAAGAGAAGTATAGAGAAGAGTAAAGGCACACCGAATTTACCCTGGTTCACCACAACTTGTGGCTAATCTAGCCTCCCGAGAGACTCTCTCGAGCTACTCTACTATCTCATTAAGCTTAACGGTGCTTAACAAACCCTTACAACTTGAGAATTCGAGTCACACGAACCTCAACGAATCCTTCGAAGGAAACAGCCCTTCCTTCGAATCAAACGAGAAAAATACTTTCTCTCAATGTGTCTTTGAACACAAATACACTCAAGAACGAGACTCTCTTTTAGAGTAGATATTGAGTAAACTAAGTACGCTCAAGAACAACTCAAATTTCACACAAATTGGCTCTTAAAAAGCTATGAAAAAGAATGTTGTTTGAATGCAATGAAAGTAGGAGAATTGTGAAGTGAATTGATGAGAAAAACAGACCCAAACACCCCTTTTTATAGTGCCAAAATAGGCTCCAATGGACCAATACATAGAAGGGGTGATTGGCTTGATTTATGAGATTGAATAAATTTGGGATCTGTAGGATATTGGCTTCCCAACGATGTATGGACTTACCCATCGCTGGTACGCCAATTTTCTTTCAGTTTTGAAGCCAACGGTTACCTACCCATTGATGGGTACAAGCTTCCCATCGCTGGGTGAGAGGTTGACTTCCAAACAAGGAAAGAATCAACCTTAAATGACTTCCAACGGTCATGCCTTCCCAGCGATGATTATGCCTACCCATCGCTGGGTTCCCATCGATGGGGTAAAGTCTCCATCGCTGGGTAACGTCGTTCTGCCTTGCATTGATGTTGGACCAAGGCTTTAACAGCGATGGGTAGAACTTCCCATCGATGTTTGGCATGGTTCTTGAACTTGGTTGGGCTAAAGGACCGCTTACCCATCGATGGGTAGTTCCTCCCATCCCTGGGTGGATGGTTAGTTAAAACCCATGGTTTTTGCCTGAACCACGGCCTAGCCAACCGATGCAAAAAACCGACCGAAAAATCCAAAGTTCTCCAAAATAAAAACCAAGTGTTTAAAACACTTATTTGATGTGTTTGGCTAAGAAATTAAGTGAGACACTTTAAAAACCACGTCATTTGGGTAAAAACCACGGCTAGCCAAGTTTATGTCGTTTTGCGTGGTTTTTGCCAAACAACCAAAAAACGAAAGGTGGTTTTCAAAGTGTTTTTGTTGGAGAACTGTTTAAACATGCCAGTAATTAAAAACCAATCATAAAAATTTAAAAACCACTTGGTTGATTCGGACGCCAAAAACCAACGCCGAAAACTGAGTGCCGAACGCCGGTTTCTGAAAGCTGAACGCCGGATGGTTTGATTTTTGGTTTGGGCAAACACCAAGTGTTTTTAATGTTTTAAACATGTTTGAAAATTTTTTTTATGGTGTAAGAGATTCAATAAAAGAAGTTTAGCCTAAAGAGCCAAGGTGGGAAGGTTGGGTCGGTCTTGATCATAATTGACCGACTCAACGACACTAAGACTATGGCCTTCGTTCTTGGTCTTTGTTTAGCTCTTGTTCTTATCTTCGTTCTTCGCCTTTTATATTCAATGTTTGTCTTGATCACGGCGGTTTGGCATTATCAAAACCTGTCATAAAAACGAACACGGCTTTAGTACGAAAACGTGACAAACCCGTGTTTCAACAATTTCCCCCTTTTTGATAATGGCAAACAAGACGAGGTTATGCATAGGAGGATAGGTTTGAGACTTTAAAAAAATGTTCCCCCTTAATAAATGCAATTTTATTTTCAACAAAGTATTTGTGATGAATAAGAGTTTTTTTTAAAAAATTCCCCCTCAATTTATGCATAACCTTGATATCTTCCCCCTTTTGACATTAACAAAAAGAATTTAAAAGTAAACTTTTATTCATTAAAAGGGAAATGCGGAATACAACAAAATGGAAGTAAAAAAACATTCATATTAAAAGAAAAGAAGGGAGGAGTTTAGGAGTCGGCGTCCTCATCGTTGTCGTCATCCTCGTTGTCCACGACGTCCATGGGATCGCCATCGACCGCATCCTCAAAGTCGGCCTCATCAGGGGAGGAGGACGGAGCATAGGAGTCGTCGTCCTCATCCTCGCCTTCAAAGTTTTGGCCGAGAATGGTGCTGTCAAAGGGCGGCGGGACGTAGTTGATGCCTCGGAAGAATGCCGTCATGTCGTGATGTTGGCATTGCAACGTTACGTCCACCCTCTCCAAGTACTGCCCCATGCCTGTTGGAATTGGTGCCCTTATGGCCAACTGCTGTTGTAATATCTTAGATATTTTCTATCATGTAAAGGCAGATGCATTAAGTTTACAAACATCTCATGCTAATGTAAACTCTTAGTTGCATTCCTAGAATTATATTATAAGATGTTTATCAGAATGAGTTTTCTGATGTTGAGACTGACATCTTGTCTCTTAGTATAATTTTGAACGGTCCATAGTCGAAGCACTAACGAGAGTGGGATATTGTTAGTGCGCGTGAGACTAGTGAGAGTTAGATGTTTGACCTAGTCTCTTGGTCAATGACGGAGTGTTCGCATCTACTCTCGGGCAGATATTATCGTTAATAATAGGATGCCAGACCTGATCCACCTTAAGGACATTGCCTAGACTTTTAGTCTACGCTCTAAGTGTCCTTAATGCGACTATTGGTATAACGATCCTTAGACTTGAAGTATTACGTTCTTCGAATGCGTGAACCTGCATGCTTTGATTCATTGTCCTAAGCCGTATGAAATAAGGATGGTATACAGGCTTTGTATTGGGCATGCTGCTGCAGGTATTCGAAGACGTAGATTACGTACAAAGAATTTGTCACTCCTACTCAAGCAGAATAATGTTTTGTAGGGGCCCACTGATAAGTATGACTGAGGAAATGCATGGTCATGCTGAGATGAGTTTAGACATCTGTTCTCATTAGTCAGACTTGTTTAATCAGTAAATGACTTAATGGCTACAAGTTGGCTATTTTATATCCCTTGCATTAAGTTAAGACATTGGGACAAAAGGATCTACGTTATACAACGTCTTAGTCGTAGAAAGGTTTTGACGGAGCAAACGTCTGAACATATAATGTGGGGGTAGTAATGTGTTGCTAGATACTGCTTATTACTTATAGTATTGGTGTAAAGTCAATAGTGTGGCAAGTTTTATAAGTGCCTATACGGGTCACACACTTTGAAAAATTTAAATAGTAGGATTATAAGAAGGGATAATATTTAATTTGTATATTGTAAAATAGTAAAGTAAAATGTTTAATATAATATATATATATACATACTTTGTACAGGTACTTATATATTTACGTGGGTCACACATACTTATATATTTACATATATACTTTACACATGACATATATATATATATATATATATATATATATATATATATATATATATATATATATATATATATATATATATATATATATATATATATATATATATATATATATATATATATATATAAAATAAAAATGTCTCTCTCTCCTCCCCCTCCCCTCCCTCCTCCACCTCCGCCGTTAACTGCCGCCACCATTGCCGGCTCTCAATCCCGTCCACCTGCCTCCCTACAGAAACTCACCCCTCGGCCTTCCTCTCGAATGGCCCCTCTGCCTCTTGCCTCTTTTGCCATTCCCCCCGGCACGACGTGAAACGCTCCTTCGCAGACGTCATCGGAAATTCATCTTCCTCGCCACCCCCCTCCATCACCTCCAAACCTATCACGAGGCACAAAGGCTATCCAGCAATCACCTTCACTCCTGAGGAAGTCAGAAGCCTTTCCTCTCCCTTTGAGTTTTCCCTAGTTGGTAGATTTCCAAAATCTCGTCCTCCCCTTCTAGTCATCAAATAGGTACTGGAAAGGATTGGTTTCCGGCACGACTACACTGTGGGGGTCCTGGCTTCCTCCCACATCCTGATCACGTTCAACAACGCCGAGGACTACCAAAGATGCTTCATGAAACGGCTTTGGCAGATTCAAGGCTGCCCGATGCAGGTCTCAAAAAGGAGCCCTAACTTTCATTGTGATGAGGAGAGCCCAGTATTTCCTGTCTAGATCTCCTTGGAGCACCTCCCGGTCCACTACCATGATCCTATGGCTTTATTAGCCATTGCCAAAATCTTTGGGAACCCCCTTATGCTTGATGCAGCAACCTCGGCGAGAAGCAGACCTTCGGTAGCCAGATTCTGCATCGAACTAGACGTCTCTGCAGAGCTCCCCACAAAGTTCTTCCTTGATAATGGAGGGAAAGGTCTCTGGCAAGCTGTACACTACGAGCAACTCCCTTCTTTCTGCAAGGATTGTATGAAATCCGGTCACTCCACCGGAAATTGCACCAAAACCAAGGGAGATACCTCTAAAGATCCTTTCACGCAGAAGCAACCAAAACTCCAGCCAATTCCCACTGCCAAACTCCCATCTGATGAAGGTATGCCTCCCACTTCCTCAATTCCAAACACGTCAATCCAAACACCCCTTCCTCACCCCACCATACCCCCAAAACCCCCCACTGGAAATAAAACCCCCATCCCACTTGCTCCAATCCATACACCCCACACTCAACTCCCCAACCCAGCCTCGTCCATGTACACACCCAAATCCTCCCATGCCACTTTGGATCCCACCTCAGCCCTTAATACCCAGGTTCCCAATCCAGTTGAGCCAGGTACACTAAATCAGGCCCATACCACCTTGGACTCTCAACTGCTTGAAAACATCCCCCCAATTCCTAAGCCCAGTTCAGCCCCTAGCCCACCTAGATGTGATCTCAACTTTGTTGATCCAAAAATCTTTGTGGATTACGCACATCACTCTGACTCCGAGTGCAGTCCAACAACTAAGAGGAACCCTCCCACCACTTCCATCAATGACTTAAAGCACTTTAGCAAATCCATAGCCCAAAAAATTCCCCCAGTGCCCCAAGATGACATTATCATTGACTTCACTCCCTTTCAACATGCCCAAACCTCCCGTAAAAAGAAACACGCTCACCTCCCTCCAAGGTCCAACATGGTCACACGCCTAAGAGCAAAAGCTAAACTCTCTCTACCTTCTACTGCTCCCCCCTTTCCATGAATCTACTCTCCTGGAATGTTAGGGGCATTTCCTCCTCCTTGAAAAGGCTACACCAACTCTCTCTCCATCACAAGATCAAACTCATGAGCATTCTCGAGCCCATGGTTTCCACTTCCCAATCTTCTACCCTCTCCTTTCAACTAGGGCTCAACAAATGCCTTCATGGACTGTCCAACAAAGCATGGCTCCTCTGGGACTCAGACACCTTCACGTTCCAACATCATCACGAGAGCGACCAAGTCATGCACTGCTTGTTCACACACAACTCCACTAATATCAAATTCTGGTTCTCAGTTGTTTATGGCCTCCACTCCAAAGAGGCACGGCTTTCATTATGGAACTCCCTTAGGAGCCACTCCGTAACCATCACAAGTCCCTGGATTATTGGAGGAGACTTCAACACCATCACCAATTTGGAGGAGCACAGAGGGAAGAAACTGCCATGCATCCAGAGTATGGAAGACTTCGACATATGCATCAAAGACCGTAACCTTCTCCAGCCTCAACATGTTGGTCCCCTTTTTACCTGGAAAGGGAATAAATCCAATGGCATGGTCTCTAGAACTCTGGACCGTTTCCTAATCAACCAAGAGGCAAACAAAATTTTCCCCTTTATTCACTACTCTGTCCTCAACAAAACCTCCTCCGACCATTGTCCCCTACTCCTATAAGCTCCTCCCCAATCCCTCTCCAAACCGAGGCCCTTTCGCTTCCTTAACCTTTGGACCTCCCACAACACCCTTAGACCAACCTTCCAATCTGCTTGGGAGTCCATTCCCACAGGAAGGGGCATGCATGGGCTCTACATCAAACTAACAGCTTGCCAAAAACACCTCACGGCTTGGAGCAAATCAACCTATGGCAATCTCCTTAGCATTGTCAAGACGACAGAGGAAGATTGCACCAAAAAAGAAGAGGAGTATGACGCCAACCCGAACGACAACACACGCTCCATTTGGAGCGTATCCAAAGCCCACTTACTCAAGTGCATCCGCACAGAGGAAGCTTTCTGGAAACAGAAAGCAAATGCCAAATGGATTGCACAGGGCGACGCTAACACCTTTTTTTTCCATGCAGCTTGCAGGTCAAGGTGGCGCAAGCAACACATCCACACCATCAAAAACAATCAAGGTGCCCTTGTCACCAGCGACGAGGATATTTCTCAAGCCAGAGTGGAATTCTTCACGGACCTCTACAAAGCTGACTCTACTGAGAACTTGGAGTATATCCTTCAAAACATCCCCAGCATCATCCAAGACAACCAAAATGACAAGCTCTGCTCCCTTCCAACATCTGAAGAAATCAAAAACGCTGTTTGGCACTTGGATCCAAACAGCTGCGCAGGTCCTAATGGATACAATGGAACTTTCTACCGTGAAACCTGGGACATCATCCACGAGGATGTAATAAGTGCAGTACAAGAATTCTTCCTAAATATCATGTTAGTCGGTTTAGACGTTGTGCCCACGCCTTAGAGGGGGGGGGGGGTGAATAAGGCGTTTAAAATCTTTTCGGAGTTTGATAAAAACGGTGTTGGCAAATGCGGAAGCAATATATAAAACGCAGAAATAAAAGCGTAAATAAAATGCACACCGATTTTATACTGGTTCGGGAACTCCCTACTCCAGTACCTCGAGGCTCCTCCTCAAGGATTTTCGAATCCACTAAGTCCCGGTCTCTTGAACTCCGTCAAAGCACCGCACTAGTTTGGAAAACAACCTTTGCCAATAAGATTCACTCCGAGATTTCACCACGGCTATCTTCTACCGTTCCCCCAAGGATTTAACAACCCTTGCCAATAAGATTCACTCCAAGATTTAACGGCTATCTTCTACCGTTCCCCCAAGGATTTCAAAGGCTATCCTTGAACCTTTACCCAAGGATTTATACGGCTATTCTTAACCATTACAATGTGAGAATTTGACGGCTATTCTCGACCGTAAGAAGATGTGTTTGAAGAACACAAAAATAGATTCTACACAACGGCTAGAATATTAAAATGAAGAACAAAACTTAGCCGGTGTAGAAGGAAATTATACTCTCTCAAAAGCACAATTCAAACTTATGAATATGAGAGTATATAACTAGAAACACAAGCTCAAAGTGTGTGTATAAAAATCAGGAATTTAAGGCTCTTAAAATAGCCAAAATATTGAAAATGATTAATAAAATGATGAACACACTTAGAATAAAAAGAGAGGATGTTTAGAGCTTTGTTTCTTGTTCAAATATGAAGGATTAGGCTTATATTTATAGTGGAAGATGTTAATTAGCCGTTGGGAGGTGATTAGGGTTGATTTAATTCAAAATTGCAAATCAGGAACAGTAACCCAACGGATCCGGTACCTGTTGGACATGAGTTCAAACCCCTTTATTATTTTTTTTTGGATTATTTTTTGTTTTGATGAATGACAAACAGGATGATTAAATTCAATCGATATTCGAAAATTTATTCGGATCGAGAAAAGCAAAGAAGGGCATCAAGAAGTTTCGGCGATAAAATTCACGCTCACCCCTACGCAGTTTTTTGAAGTGAAGCGAAGACTCCGAAGACTTTTTATTTTTATTGAGTCTAGGAATTTTTGTAAGGATGACAATATCTTCTGCACAAACAAATTAATTTATGAGGGATAAAAATTATTATTATTTTTTTGAGTCACTTGAAAAATCACTTTTCCTCTGTCTAAAATATTTTACTGAGTCAGTTTCAAAATAAGTGTGTCAAAACTTCTTAAAAACATTTTTTTTGATTACACAATTTTTACTTGGTAAGAAAAATTTACTTTATATATTTTTCGTGTACATCGTTTAACACACAAAATAATTTTTGGACTCTCTTTTTCTCTCCCCTACTCAAATTCATTGAATAGGGAGATATTATCCGAGGAGCGTCCATTGTCCCAAACAACGAGTTACAATCCAAACTCCTTCCAATCGCAATTGGCTTGGGCCCTTTGTGTTTGCGCATTATTTTCCTGTTAATCGATTATTTCCTCTAGGATAATCGATTAGATCCAGCGCAATTTCTCTGGACATAATAATTAATCGATTATTTCTTTTATGAAAATCGATTAGCTTGGACAGAACCGCCTAATCAATTTGTTGCTTCACTTTAATCGATTTATAAGCTTTTCGGTGGGCTGCTCAACTTTGAACAAATAATCGATTATTTCTCATCAATTAATCGATTAGAGCCTACTAATCGATTATTGGACTTCATTTAATCAATTATGGTATGTTTTTCTTTTCAGGCTTTTCTCTTCTGTGTACCGTAATCGATTTAACCTTCTACCTTAATCGATTAATTTTATCTGGTGCATATTCTCAGCCTGCTCCAACGGATTTATTTTCAGTCAGCCTATTTAATCCCTCATTCTCCTTCTTCTCCACACTTCACTCTTGCACTCCAAATATTCATTGAGTCTTTGTCATTCCTTGCTTCATCTTCCTCATCAAAACATTATTTTTGAGAGTTAGAAATATTTTCTTTGAGTGCTAAAGAAGTTGTCATCCATAGAGCTTTAATCCTTCAAACACTACCTTGCTCAATTGTGTGAGCTTTCATTCTTGTGTTGTAAACTCAATCTCATTTGAGTGTTGTTCATAAGACTTGTGTGACTCAAGTCTTGTTGTTGTAAGAAAGTGAGGCTTGTGTGATTCAAGTTCTCAAGTTGTACCGGTTTTTCAAGCACCCGTTGAAGCTTGAAGATTAGTAGGACTTTCGAGAGAGTCTCTCGGAGGACTGGACTAGCCACGAGGTGGTGAACCAGTATAAATCCCGGTGTTCTTCTTTCCCTTACTCTCTTTACTTATTCCTGCGAT